CCTTCTTCCCTTTCCTCCCCTTCCCTTTTCTTCCCCTTCCCTCCCCTCCTTACCCTTCCCCTTCCCCCTCCTTCCCCTTCTTCCCTTTATTCCCCTTCCCCTTCTTCCCTTTCCCTCCCCTTCCCCTCCTTCCCCTTCGCTTTCCTCCCCTTCTCCTCCCTTTCTTTCCTCCTTCCCTCCCCTCCCCTTCCCTTCTCCCTCCCCTCCTTCCCCTTCTTCCCTTTCCCTCCCCTTCCCCTCCTTCCCCCTCCTTATTCCCCTTCCCTCCTTCCCTTCTTCCCCTTCATTCCCCCTCCCCTCCCCTCCTTCCCCTTCTCCTCCCCTTCCCCCTCCCCCCTCCGTCCCTCCTTCCCCTCCCCTTTCCTCCCCTTCCCTTCTCCTCCTCTCCCCCCTTCTCCCTCCCCTCCTCTCCTTCCCCTCCCCTCCCCTTCTCCTCCCCTCCTTCCCTCCCCTTCTCCTCCCCCCTCCCCTCCTTCCCCTTCTTCCCTATCCCTTCCCTTCTCCCCCCCCTCCTCTCCTTCCCTTCCCCTCCCTTTCTCCCCTCTTCCCTACCCCTCCCCTTCCCCTTCTTCCCCTCCTCCCCCTTCTCCTTCCCCCCTCTCACAGGTCATACTAACACCCTGTCGTCCTTGAGGTTGTCCTTGGAGGTTCATCAGCGGTTCCGAGGACCTCTTGAGGAACATCTTGATCTTCTTCTCTCTGCTCATCGGCTCCTTCTTCTTCTGCGGCGAGTACGAGTTGTACAGGAGCTTGTGGAACACCCTGGAGGAGGAGGTTGGGGGGGGGGGGAAGGGGAGGGGGAGGGGGAGGGGGAAGGGGAGGGGAGAAGGGGAGGGAAAGGGAGGAGGTTGGGGGGGAGGGAAGGGGAGGAGGTTGGGAAAGGGGGGGAAGGGGGGAGGGTGGGGAGGTTGGGGAGGAGGTTGTGGGGAGGTTGGGGGAAGGGGAGGAGGTTGGGGGAGGTAAGGAGGAGGGAAGGGGATGAGGTTGAGGAAGGGGGGAGGTTGGGGGAGGTGGGGAAAGGGGAGGAGGTTGTGGGGATGGTGGGGAGGAGGTTGAGGAAGGGGGAAGGTTGTGGGGAGGGTGGGGAGGTGGGGGGAAGGGGAAGAGGTTGGGGGAGGTGGGGAAGTTGGGGGGAGGAGGTGGTTGGGGAGGTGGGGAGGTGGGGAAGGGGAGGAGGTTGGAGAAGAAGTTGGAAGATAGGGAGAAGGTTGTAGAGGTTGAGGAGGTAGAGGGGAAGGGGAGAAGGAGAGAGAGTGGAGTTTTTTTGTTTTTTTTTGGGTGTATGTCAGCGAGGAAGGGGAGGAGTGAGGAAAGGGGAGAGATGGGCATGTGATTATTCGATCTGCAACGTTATTAGATGGTAAAGTGAGGGGGAGGATTATAATTAATGATTGTTGGGAAACGGGGATATATGTTGCATACATGTAAACAAATCATAAGTAAACATGAATATACATAAGTATACATGAATATGTGTATATATATGTACATATAAATATATAGTGTATATGTGTGTGTGTGTGTATGTGTGTGTGTGTGTGTGTATGTGTGTGTGTGTGTGTGTGTGTGTGTGTGTGTGTGTGTGTGTGTGTGTGTGTGTGTGTGTGTGTGTGTGTGTGTGTGTGTGTGTGTATGTGTGTGTGTGTGTGTGCACGCGCGCGCGCGTTTGTTGCATACATATATACATTCATACATATATACGTCATATATACATGTGAGTGGGTGTATCTATGTCTATTGAATAACAAACCTGGAAAAAACAGGAGAGAAAATAGCATCAAACAACCAATGGTTAAAGCACGCAAACACACACTGTACAAAACAAGCTACACATCCACAATAACCGTCACCCATACTCAAAACATGTATGTAATCACACGCAAACATTCACATAAAATAGTCTCATATTCACTTTTGCTTTTAAGCGTACACAAGCGCGCGCACTTAACACTTAATATAACACACACTAACGCAAGCAAACAATTTGCAATTTACAAACACACACACACACACGCCCACACACGCCCCACATAACCCCTCACCCCCCCCCCACACACACACACATACACCACTCACAACACCCATGTCCACACACAACACCCACGCCCACAAACCTCTCACACCCACACACGCCCCACATAACCCTTCACGCCCACACACACACCACTCACAACACCCACGCCCACACACACACACACACGCCCACACACGCCCCACACAACCCCTCACACCCACACCCACGCCCACACAACCCCTCACGCCTTCAAACCCCCCTCACAACACGCCCTCCCACCCCGACCCACCTGCTCCGGGCCGCCAGCACCGCCTTGACCGCGCAAACGGGTTCTCTCGTGTCGCCGACCAGGAAGGTGACGTCACAGAGCTCCGGCATCGAGGCCAAGAACTTCATGTCCTCCGCCAGCCCTGTTTTGTTCTCGAAGGTGGAGAAGTCCGGCTCGTCGCACAGGGTCCCCGCCATGGCTATCGCTTGCTCTACCAT